CCAGCTATAGTCACGCTCTATATTTGTCATATCATCTGGAACGTGATCAGGGATTTCAAGATGGACCACCTGACCACGGAACAGGGCAGACATCTTCTTTTGTGTATCTTCAAAGAGGCGTCGGACACCACAAGTCAGGTCTCCGAGCTGTAAAAGCTTCCCTTTATATGCAAACCTCGTGGCATCGTCTGAGATGGTGATGCTTGGGGCATTTGTCTCAGAGTAAGCAAGTGAGGAGATGAAGCGCTGGTAGTCAATGAGAGTGGTGAATGGAGTTAGAGTCCCAGGGTGCAGATTATCCAAGCAGTAGTGTGTAACCGATCTATAAAGTATAAGTCATGCGTGATACACAGCAATATAGCCCAACTCACTTGAACAAGTCATTACCAAATTCTGACTGCTGCCTATGTGCCTCATAGAGGGTAGCTCCACGGCAGTGATACTCAAGCATGGCCAATGGCTGAGTCATATCTGATGCTCTCTTGTGAATACCATCTGGGAGAAGCGAGTAGACAGCTAAGAAACACTCCAGTGCAGAGGACCATTTGTTGTCAGAAGTGGAATCGATGCTGCGGGACAGGAAGGGATAGATGAACTCATGGAAGACTGCCACGCCATCATCTGTAGGAGTGTCAAGGCTATCCTGCAAGCGATGGGCTCTCTCTATGTCCTCCTGGCCCAATGGAAAGGTATACCCTGACTTGTGGCTCTGCAGCGAGAGTAATATCCCTTGGGCAAAGGAGCGCAGAGGCACTGAGTACTTGCGCAGTGTTGTATCTGAGTCATGATACTTCCAGGGTGTTGTGTGAGATGAAGTCCTACCAAATAATGAGATACTTCATTACACAATGCAATGTCATGACTCACCGAGGACACTCCATCAAAAGGCAGCGAACACCAAGTGGAGACTTCCTTGCAAGACCACAAATTGTTTTCATGTAATTGAAAACAACATTACTCAAGTGCCCAATCCCTGAGCTGTGGAGTCCTGTAGGCAGCTTTACCAGTTCACACAGACTGTGGCACTGTGCCACATCCTGAGTCCATGGAGCCACATGTGTATGCCACTGAGTCATCTTGAGTAGTAGAGGTACCTCCTGTTCACCACTGACTGGTGTAATCACTTGACGGTGGACTGTCGGGTACTCTTCTCGCATGAAGATATCAAAGGCAGACTCCATCGGATACTTGGCATACTGCAAATCGACTTCAAAGTACTTCACCGGAAGTGGGGAGAAAAGAGTCTGGACTGCCCCAGTGCGATACTTGTCATTGGTAGCAACACTTGAACCACCATGGACACGACTGGCATGAGTGAGCATAGATGACCGCTGAAGGAAACAGTCTGGACAACGGATACAGCAAAAGCCAGATTCGTGGATCTTCAATCCAGCAATAGGTGGGCCACCAGGTGCAGGAGGCAGAATCTTGTGATCTGGGCAAAGTCCGTATTCTCCTGCAAGGGCAGCTAACTCAGCAGCATCGGTCTTCCTCACTGGAACTCCATGGCCTTTGACATGTCCCAGTACAGCTGATGGGATCCAGCAGATTTCACAACCCACGCAAACCAAGACCTTCAAGTGTGCATGGATGCGCAAGCCAAGTCGCTCAAGCAGTGGTGTAGAGATCAAATGATTTTCAGTCTGAGGGATGGGAGGTTGCGTACTTGGATGATGGATAGGGGCCAGTAACAGCGGCCTATGGGCTGTGTTAGTGGCCAGATCTATACCACCGTATTCATCAACATGCTCCAAATCATGAGGCACAGCAGGTTGCAGGCTATCAGTTGCCACAGAAGGACCTGAGTCAACATCCATAGCATTAGTATCAGCTTCTGCATCACTTCCTTGTGGAGCGCAGAACTGCTGGTCTACGTGGCTCTTCAGGTGCATTGCCATTTGTAAGCGAGAGGTATCCTGGAATTCGCACTCTGGAACAGGGCACCTCAGGGCCTCTTGCACTGCGGCACGGTGAAGAACCACCATATTTTCTATCATATCATCAGTATTGACCATGGATAAACTTGTAAGTCCACGTGCCTCGGATTTTAATAGTATTTATTAGAGTGTGCACATCTTCAGTATGGTGTTCAACACTCTTGACTTTTGCACCACAAAGCTGACACTGGGTTCTGAATAGCTATTTGAGCAAAGCAAACAAATACAAACAAGTAGCACTCACCTGGCCATGATATGTTATGCAATGATTCTAACTGTCAAGTTTAAATGATCAGTAAACCCCCTTGTGGCTGTGCAAAAACTCGAACATGACACAAACAAAAGTAAACAAATAATGTGTGATCTGGCCAAAAAAAGGGTGTGGCTGTGCAAAAACTCGAACTTGGACCAAATAGAGCCACACAAACAACCTGGGGCCCAGGGGGACAAGGCAGGACCAACTGTGGATGACTGCAATACAGGAAACTACAACACACCTGCTTATCAAGCAAAAACTCGAAATTGGAACAAACAGAGGCCAACAAATAGCCCAGTAGCACTGAGTCAGAGTGTGGTGGTGGTAGGAAGAGAGAAGGGATTGATGGCTGTGCAAAAACTCGAACTTGAAACAAAGGTGGACAAAGAGGTACAAACAAGGACAAATAAGTAGCTGAATTAGGCAAAAAGGACACATCTCCTATCTCTTGCTTAAGGAGGGAATTCGATGCTCCAAGGCCTCATCGGCTTTCACGGCTAGGGTTGCATAAATTCTCGTAGAATTGGAGCGCCTGGGCGGGAATTGAACGACCGCCCTCTATATCCGCACATAGGCGTGTCATAGACCGTTAGACCAAATTGGTTAGAGAACTTGCGAGCGCGGGAACTCTATATAGGGCTCGGGTCTCACTCGGGACTTGGTTACTTTCAACTGATTTATTTCGTGGTGGGGCCTTATACACCCATAGCTACTGCATGTCTGAGTATACTACAGTATATAGTAATATATGAAGGCCTCAGATGCGGTATACAAACCGCGATCCGAGGCTGCGCAAGGCTGCGGGGAGGGAATGTGGCTGGGGACCCACAAAATAGAAAACAAAAGATAAGAAATTCAGAACTCACCCGATCGCAAAGACGCATACGGCATCGCATTCCTATGACCCATGCGAGTCAGGAAAACCGCGCGTCTACGCGGGGCAAGCGGTTTCGACGTCGGCGTGATGCGCGACGTCGGCGACGGTGACAAACCGTTCGCGGCCCCCGTAGCGGTCGTGGAGGCGAACGGTCGCCGGAGAGGGTGGGTGGGGGTGGTAGGAATATGACCCCGTCAAGACGCGCGAGCTCGCGCGCTCTCTGGGGCCGGCGAGAGGGGGATGGGTGGCAGGGGGAGGAGGAGGGTGGAAAGAAATTCATATAATATTCAGCACTCACCCAATTAGAAAGGCGCATATAGCGGCGCATTGAGATGGTCGACGCGAGTCAGAGACACCCGCTGTTGAGGCGGGGGGTGGAGTTTCGAGGTCGGCGCGAAGGGTGTCGTCGGGGAGGGCGACGGCGACGGCGGCAGCGGCGGTGGCGGTCGAGACAGCGAGCGGCGGCTAGACGCGCCGGCTACAGGGTGTGAGGAATGGGGGAGGTCGAATTTGGGCCGTGTCGGGGCCATCCGGAGCCGGCGCGAGGTGGGGAGGGGGGAGGTGGGGAGGTGGGCGATAAAAAATGAAACACAACATCAACGAGGGAGAGCCACATAGTGGCTCGCTCTCGTCGATGTCTTGGCACTCGTAGGAGCTGGGAAAGGGCGTCCGCGTTACCGCGGACGGCCTGGTGAAGGAGTTATGGACGGGGAGGGGGTTGAGAGGGGTAAAACAGAAAATCGAAGATTGTGACAGAACGGGTGCACAGATGTGTGCACCCATCTCTGCCACAGCTTCGTCTAATGGTCTCCAGCCATAAATGACGTCGAACAACAGAACGCGCGCGCGTTCTGGTGTTCGACGTCGGACGACGCGCGCGCGACGACAGCGGCGTCGACGGCGACGATGGTCGTCCTACGGCTCAGAACGAGCCTCCTCACGCTGGAGTAGCATAAGGAGGTTCGCTTGGGCCCGGAGACGCATCGCTAGCGTCCCTGGGCCCGCCGCAAGATGGAGTTGTAGGGAGGTGGGGCTGAGCCCCGGGAAGATTGAGAATAAGTCGACGACGAGACAACGCGCTGCTATAGCGAGTGTCTCGTCGTCGTCCTGACTCCGTATGGAGTCAGGAAATCGGTTCCTATCCGAAGGTAGGTGACCGAGGAAGCGCGGAGGGAGGGACAGGGGGAGGGGGTAGTAAAATAGAAAAAATGAAATAGAACAAGAACGGCGCCGCCGTTTTGCGCGACGCCGGTACCGTTAGTTTCCTGGAGACGAAGGGCGTCGGGTGTGACATCGAAATCGAGAACGCGACGGCGTTCTCGATTCCGATGTCGGGAGGACGCGAGGGGAGGCGGGTGTGCGGCCAGCGGTCTTGCTGCGTTGGTACGGGTCCGGGCCTGGTCCAGAAGGACGGCACCACCTATGAGAAGGTAGTGCACCTGTTAAATAAACATTCGGGGCCGGCGCGACCCGCCTACGTCGAGACGCGAGGCGGGCATGCCAGCCCTAGGATCAAACAAACAACTTCGAAGTTTTTACTGTTTACTTACCTGATAACCCTTGTCCTCAGCTCACATACCCTCCAAAACTCTTATCCAACACCTGGTAAGTCCACATGAGCGTTGAGCAAGCAGCGTCGGCGTCGCGAGCGTCGAGAGCACGACGCGCGTCTCGCGCGTCGGCTCGTCTCCGAGGTTGCCTCGCTCGGGCTCTAGAGCAGAAATTCAGTGAATCAAAAAGGTCCTCGGGGGTTTTCGTACCCTCTGAGAACGAATAGACACTTACCGAGACGCGATACCGTGGCGGTCGATGACCGCGAGCCACTTTGACTCGCGCCACTGGACGCGGTCCATTCGCGCCACCGGACGCGGGTCACGTGGAAATCCGAACATCCCGCGTCTCGCATTATTTTCGGCTCTCCTCTTCTCTCGACTCGACATCTGCTCAGAATCAGAAAGCCTAGTCCTATCCTGGTCTCTTTTTACTACAGATATATAGTAACTATGCCTGCTATTAGAAACACTGTTACTGGCCTGAAAGGAAGGGGTCCTCCTGGTGTGAGGCCCACTGCTGCTGCTTCCCCTGCTGCAGCTCCAGCTACATCCACCCCCTCTGCTCTTGCTGCCCCTGCTGGCCCTGAGCCTCCTGCTGAGGATGTTGGAGAAGATGCTGAGAAGATAGCCCGAACCAAGGCAGAGAAGAAGGCAAAGGCACACTTGGAGAAGATCACTCCAGGTAAGCTTGCCTTTGAGGCACTCAAGCGTGATGAGAAGGCTCCGATATCCAAGACCGACCGGACAAATCAAGTCAAGGATGCTGCAGCCCGCAACATCAAGGATCAGTATGAGTCCATTGTGACATATGCTGAGCTTCGAGATGGGCGTCGATGTGCTGCTAAGAATTGCGGTGAGTCTCTGTTTGACTACCTAAGTGCTATGGAAGCTCACTCCATCACAAAGGACCCCTGATTACTCCAGGACAAGCTCAGGCCATACAGAGGGCTTACCTCGAGGCAGGGGTAGAGGAGTACGATGGTCTCCGCTCTTTCAAGGAGCATGGTCGGCCGATTATCCTCTTGCGCCCGCAGGCAACGATGCAGGTCCTGGTGAGTTCTTCTACTAGGTGACAATATGCCAAATAGTCTGACAAGCAAGTAGAATGAGGTTGAGGCCCAGTATAGTCCTTACCACTGGGCCTGTGTCCCTCTGAAGGAGCGCTTCCTTGATGCCAAGGACCTTCCTGCAAAGCGCAATGAGCTCATCAAAGGCTGTGATCTCAAGAAACTCGACTGCTCTGAGCTTGCCAAACCTGATCGACTGCTTGTCTACCAGGCAATCCAGAATGCTCACTATGGTAAAGACAAGATCCCAAAACGTAGGCTTGGAAAGACACAGAAGAAGGTAGAAGCTGCTGAGCGTGAAGCCTATCGTGCTCATGGTCAAAGGGACTACCTGACCCATCGCAGGGAGGAGATGGAGGAGAAGAAGAAGCTCAACGAGGAGAAGCGATGGGCTAGGCGCAAGGAAAAGAAGGTGAGGAAGATGAATGAGAAGGCAGAGAGGGAACTGGAGCGTGAGCATGGTATGGAGGAGGGAGCAGCATCTAGCTCTAAGATGTCAAGGAGGGAGCGGGCAAAGAAGGAGAGGAAGGAGAGGGAGGAGGGACACTGAGGTTTCTAATTCACTCGCTAGCTATCAACTTGTGCTCTTCCCTGCTGGCTTACTCCTTTTGGCACATTCACTACATCCATGCTTTGTCGCTTTCTTATCCATCCCCTTGCCTAATACTCAGAAGTCTTTCTTGAATGCCCCACATAGTTCTCATCTCATTCCCATACAACCCCATATACCCACACTCGTTTCTATGCTACAACTTCCCTTCATCCAGTGCAAACTATGTCTTGAGTAATTGCCTGTTGCTAAGTTGAAGTCTGAAGACTGTTTGGGGACTTTGCTGCTTAACAGAAGGGCCTCATAAATGCTTGAATCTCGAAGATATCAAAAGCCCCAGCCCACCTGCTTCAGATTTGAGTCCAAACAATGCATGATAAAGTGGGCTTGTGAGCATTGGTGGAAAGTAAATGGAGCACTTTGTGGACTCCAGTTCTCAACTTAAGATGTGTGTACATGCTTGAATAGGAGGATGGGAAAAATACCCAATGTGCTCACTTCACATTTCAGCTCAAGTAATGCATAATAAAGTC